CTTATATATTCAGTGTTTTGAGATTTTTGGAAATGTAAGATTTGGTTACTAAGTGTGCTAATTAGTATGTTTATAATAATTTTGTATATTAATACATAATGGTTTTGGTTATGTAAACCATTAATAACCGTACCTAAATACAATGGGGTTTTGTCATCAGTCCATATATATTTTGCTTCACATTCATAAAAATTATTTACAGGAGAGATCCAAAGACCAAGACTATCAAATGGGTCATGTTAAGAGAAGTTTTGGGAATTGGTTGTTCTCAGGATACCTTATCATGTTCAAAGTTACATACTATACCTATCTCACAAAAAAAAAAAAGAAAGAAAGCTTGGTGTTTATAGCATATAATGTATATCTACCTTCAGTTACAATGTCTGCGAACCAACTGCCAAACCCAAGCAAGCAGAGGCCAAGGAATGGAGTGTAATTAGGTGACAACTACCCAACAATATATTTCTATTGCTACCTAAAGGACAGGAAGCACTGTTTACATAATGACATAGTCATGCCTCTCAGTACAGGATATGAGCATAAGGAGACACATCGGTGAGATATGCAGTCCATGTTTTCAGGAACTGAGGCAAGGACAGTCACTAAGATAAGCAGAGGAAGAGGCAGAAGACAATAGGAAGGAGAGAAAACATTCCAGTTAGGCAATTTGGATTTGAGAGTCTCTGACAAATCTGCTTTCCTAGAAAAAACTTTTCAGCCATTGCTGATTTCCACAAATAAATATGCTCTTCATGATCTATTTCAAACTATCAATGAGCTCAATGGAAGGGTTGAGATAAGATATACACAGTAGGCTCTCATTGGCTAGCATAAGCCAGGTCCAGCATGTGTCTATAAGAGGATTTCCAAGTACAGGCATCATAAAAATAACTGAATGTACACACCTCTAGCTAAAGAGTACAATATGAATAAGACATTTATCTAGAAATATATGATACTACCAACATCAAAGTTCCAAGAGAATCCTGAGTTGCAATTCTGTTTGGTTTAAATAAATGGTATCATGATCAGGTGTTCCAAACAGAAAACACATGGACAAGTAATCAGTATGGAGGATGGATCCTGTCATGAGTAAAACACCTTTTTACAAAGAAGCACTTTCTCCATTCTCAAGGAAATCAATTCAGACATAAATCAGCAGTGCCACTCTGCAATTGTTAGACCAGATACAAGCAATCGAACTGGGTTATTATTAAGAATGAAACTGGTACACTACTAGCAATCCTAGATGGTGTTTTAGTCTGGACTGAATCTCCCCTTGGATAATGAAACCTCCTCCAGAATGCCCATCAATCTAAAGAAGGAAGAGGAACAGAAAGAGACACAACATAGTGCAGCATTCACTAAAACCAAGGTGTTCGACACCGATCACAGAAGAATAAACATCAGAAAAGATGATTGACCAAAGAAGATCTGGTACTCAAGTTCAAACTCAAGAAATAGAAAGTTTCCAGACTAGCAGAGTACACAGTGAGAACTAGAGAGTTGCGATGCAAGGCAGGAAGAAGTGAGCAGAGTTTCAGGCAGCGAACTATATACAGAGAGGCAAGAGCCTGCACAAGAATGGGTGAATCAGAAGCCAACCAGGCCTTACCACATTTACCACTGAATTCTAATCCTTCATAAATGTTCCTTTAGTTCATTTGATTACCTCCAGAATATTTTATACTACCTGACATGGATTGGTAAGTATTCAGTACATACTTTTAAAGATTGATGTATTTTTATTGGAAAGCCAGATTTACAGAGAGAAAGAGAGACAGAAAGATCTTCCATCTGCTGTTAACATTCAAGTGGCTGAGCCAATCTGAAGCCAGGAGCCAGGACTTTCTTTCAGGTCTCACACACAGGTGCTGAATTTCAAGGCCTTGGGCCATCTGCTACTGCTTTCCCTAGCCAGAAGCAGGGAGCTGGAAAGGAAATAGGTAGCCAGAATATGTACCAGCACCCATAGGGGTTCCCGGAGAATGCAAAGCAAGACAAGCCAAGGACTTCGGCTGAAGGACTAGGCTACCAAATCAGGGTCAAGTATTCAATTTTTTAAAATAAATAAATAAAAGAATGAGATTAAATGTTACAAAAAGAGTCTGAGAAGTCATGAAAATAGGTGAGTAGTCATGTTTTTATGTCTGCTCATATTGTGTATTGCCAAAATTGACAATAACACACTATTTTCCTGGTAAGGAAAAATAAATAACATCAGACTTTACAACTCACACATTACAAAATTCACTTAAATGTCCTAAAACCCGCATCAGTCTTGGGTTTGGAATGACCATTGTCCATTCAGAGAAGCCACTTGATTCTGTGTAGGTCCTATTATAAAATTATTGTCAAAATATGACATTTTCAAATTATTAGAAAATATGAGACTTCATCAATACAAGTTAAAGTTGGTCAAAAAGCAGAATTCTGTTTTTAAAGTATTTGTTCAACAACTTCTGTTTGTCAGGCAGTGGGCACACAGTGCTAAGAGAGACATCAATCCAACTCCTCAGTAACTGACAGTCTTTTTGAGATTTGAAAGAAGATACTGCAATAATCTCATGATGTGAGTCAGAGATAAGAAATGTCCCTTCATCCTCATATGCTACAGTTACACAGCCTTTATCATTCAAACCAAAAGTCAGTAATGTAACATGAGATGTGATGGGCACTGCATTTGTTTAAAATAATTTCATCATGAACGTTCAAAGGTGAACCAACTCTAATTGATCTTGACGCTCCAGCTTCTATTTTGCATTTGAAACATTTGTTTTGTCTCTGCATCAACCAGATCCAAAACATAAAATCATTTTTGATGCTTCCAAGCAAATTCAACAACAAAAATCTTTTCACACAATCTACAATTTCATTAGGGAGCTGATGAGCAGAGAGCAGGAGGGTTTATATCTTGGATTACAAATTAAGCTTTATTAAATTTTTATGATCTTTACACAGTTGATTAGGGCACAAAGGGTCAAAGGCTACAGGAAAGTGGATGGATCAACTACCCCAGCCATGTGTTTGCCAGTGAAAATCTGGGCAAGGGGAGACACTAAGGTAGACTTAGTCACTGCATTCTGATGTCAGCCAGTTGATCCTGAAGAAATTTCCTCGAGCCTGGACTGACGATATCAGCAGCAAATCAGAACAATTGAACTGTCAAAATCACTATAGCAGTGCCCTTGGAGCATGCCCCACATTGGGAATCCTGGGATGGTTGAGAGGGTGGGTGTGGCTTCTCCCTTTATCTCTCCCCTTCCCCAAGATACAAGAAGGAAAAAAGAGAATATGAGGGCCTGGTGGCGTGGCCTAATGGCTTAAGTCCTCCCCTTGAACGCACCGAGATCCCATATGGGTGCCGGTTATAGTCCCAGCAGCTCTACTTCCCATCCAGCTCCCTGCTTGTGGCCTGGGCAAACAGTCGAGGATGGCCCAAGGTCTTGGGATCCTGCACCCATGTGGGAGACCTGGAGGAAGTTCCTGGCTCCTGACCACTAATCAGCACAGCACAGGCCGTTTTGCTCACTTGGAGAGTGAATCATCTTGGGGAGTGAATCATCAGATGGAGGATCTTCCTCTCTGTCTCTACTCCTCTATGTATATCTGACTTTGTAATAAAAATAAATCTTTAAAAAGAGAGAGAGAGAGAATGTGAAAGAAATTAAGCTTTTCAAGCCGTTCAGGCTGATGTCTATTCTCCCAAACACATCACCTTAGGACATGCTGGGCAGGACCTTCTCTCCTACCCTTCTCCCCTTCACCATCTCTTCCCGCGTTTCTCTTTCCCTTTCCTCATTCACTGTCTCTCCTTGGTAGATCAACTCTTCTTGACCAAGCACAGTAATTCAGCCCAGACAAAATCGTTATCTCCAAATTTCGGAGTTGGTGCTCAGCAAAACGAAATGAAATGCCCCTCTCCCTGCCGTGCTAATAAGAAAGAATTTATGCAAGGATACTGTACAGAGTATGTCTCATAACCCAAGCATAATCCGTTGTCTCATCAGCTTTCCAAGTCTTCCCCCTTCGTAACTCTAGTGTTCTAACTGGCAAAGAAAGAATGTAGTGACGAAGCACTTGTGGGGCATGTGGCTCCGATTTCAGGATCATGAAAGGAGGAAAGAACAATCTTGACTAAAACTGAATTAAAGAGAAGACAACAGGGGGGCAGAGGGAAGTTGGGAGAGAAATAGAAGACAGCATTTCCCCCATGGAAGCACAAAACCTCGGTGCTCACTGACAAGCAAAAAATACAAAGATCTCCAAAAGGTATACCAGAAACAGGATTAAAGAATTATCAGTTTAATCTAGTGGATAATTTTAAAATCCACATGTAGTATTTCCATAATATGCATTTTCCACATATTATGAAAGAGGATATTTTGCATCAAAGCAAACTCATAATTTCATTCCACTTTTCCACAAACATTTTGAAATACCCAGAGAAACCAAAGACTACGAAAGGAACCGTATTACTGTGATGATAGGGGGAAAATGGTGAGAGTGCAAAACAAACATGGAACAAAGGGATGGAGGGAAGTAACCCTATATCTACAAAACTGTATCATGAATACAATAATAATAATACATGAGTAAATAAATAAAAATAAAGTTAAACATTAGGACTGTAGAATGACAAGAATTTTTTGGTTGATAGAAATGATAGAAATTTTCCATAATTTTTGGAAAAATATTTACATTGTTCACACAATAGATATTACATTTAAAATAAGTGAGCACAATACATATGTATGTATAAATGTATACATTCATGTATTTTATATATTGATAAAGCTAATATAAGTAATATAAGTAAGTTGATACATATATGTATACATTCATGTATTTTATATATTGATAAAGGTAATATAAGTAAGTTGATACATATATATATATATTTCTCTCCATTGTCGAACAACTAAATAATGCAAAAATACTAAAAAATAATAGATTCATTTTTCACTTAACTCCCTCTGTCTTCCTCCTTAGGATACTCACCATGTTCCCAGCTGGAACACATCAGAAACTGTTGACACTGATATGTCTTTTAGCAAGTCTCTGGATAATTTTCACAATTTCTCAGAACTCCACTAAGGTCAGTACAGCTCTCCCTGTTGGATGTGATGTTCTCACCTGTGTGATCTGATCTGTGTCCAGTTTGTCTTTCCGTCAGGCCGGTGCTCCATTACTATCTTACCCTTCCTACCTCTAGTCCACTTAATCTCCTGGAAGAATTTTCAATCCTGACTGTCTTCAGTTCTCTTTCCCAATTGCCTTCAATCCATTCTAAGCAGAATCCACCCGCCAGGTGCCCTTAAAATGGCCCTCAGCAATGTCATCAATTCTCTTGACACTGAAGAATTACCTTGTTAAAATATCCAGGTACATATACAATGACTCTTAAAAGGTATTCATATAAAATAGATATTAAGAAAAAACTATGCATGGATTTCAGATATTTTCAAACAAAATAAAGTTAATCTTTGAACTACATTTTTAATTACTATCCTATTAACTAACCACATAAATCTAGTCTGTCATTTCATCTTATTGCATCTGTGATTTCTCTTTTAAGTTTTATTTATCAATTTTAAATGCAAGGTACAGTGTTACAGAGAATGACAGCAAGCAAGATTCCATTGTACATTCAGTACCAAAATAGCTATATTAAGCATGAATGCAGTTACTGGTGGCTAATGTTCTGGTTTTCCCATCGGCTTTGGAAATGTTGTAGGGTTTTTCATTTGTGAAAGTATAAAGCTAAGTAAATACTGAAGTAAATCAATTTGGTTTTCGGTAACTGCAATTTCATTTATTTCAGAAAACGAAAACTCGTGACATTTTGTCTTTGATCCATTCCAATATAAATTGTATTGTAAGATTTTACTTTTTGATGCTATCTTCATAATCCTGAATTAAGCCATAGTTAATTGTGGTAATTATACATACAAACATACCACTATACAGATATAACTATTAGTACTCTATCTACACAACAGGAATAAGAAAGAATTTACATGTCACTTTCATCAAAATGTATACCCATTTCATTAAATTTATTTTTCCAATTATATAAGTTAGGGAGCACTCTACATGTAATCCAAAACATCATAGACTATGGGGCTATGCAATGGCTCAACTGATAGAGCCTTAACCGCAAAATTCCAGCAACCCTACAGATGTGCGTTCATGTCTCAGCTCCTCCACTGCTGATCCAGATCCCTGCTTATGTAACAGAGCATGGCCAAAGTCCCTGGCACACTGCACACACATGGGAGACCCAGAAGAAACTCCTGGATCCTGGCTTCAGATAACTTAATCCTTGGCCATTACAGTCACTTGGGGAGTGAACTAGCACATGGAAGATATTCCTATCTCTCCTTTCTGTAAAGCTGCCTTTCCAATTAAATAAACAATTCTTAAAACATTGTAGACTATCAATTTTGGAGGTGAAAAACATAAATATGTTTATCGTGATGATAACTATATCTTTCTTCTCAGTATTATTTTCTATATTGCATGAGTAGTTTCTATCTCATTTTTGTGCTCCTCGTTGTACCAATTAAGGCTTTTGAAGATGTTTGCTTGCAATGCACAAAAATAGTCCTTATGTGGGATTTTATTTATTTATATCTTAAATTCTTGGTTACCTCTTCCAAAGCTTTATCAGTCCTAACACCTGGATTGAAAGAGAAGCTGCCAGAACTCCAGCCGGTGCCTGCATGGGATGTCAGCATTGCAGGTGGCAGCTGTGCCCATTACACCACAAGGCCAGCCTCAGGTGGAGATTTTTTTCAACGTTTCCACTTAGATTCTGTTCATCTTTATTTTGCATTATATCTCATTCCCATTTTCTCATCTCTTTTGGCTTATTCCAGAACTTTTTAATAAGCTTTTTAAATAAAATCTTATGTGTGCTCTAAAAGATGAAAGAGTTGACAACAAACAATCTATAACTACCTTTCTTCAAATACACTGAGCTTAGGATACCTGATTTGGCTTTTGAAAATCTATAAGGATATTTCAATAAAGTTCATGGAAGTAGATATCTGCAAAATACCTTATGTATATATGGATATCCAAAAAAAAAGTAACAAAACGGTAGTACCTCTTAATTCCATTTACCACGAATTTTTCAAGATTTTTCCTATGCTCCCACAGAACACATTCAGTGATTATGACTCAGCTGATATAGACTGCAATGAAAGAGTCCATCTTTGTATAATAGCATAAAAGGTGCCTACCACTAATGACAAAGTATGGAAATCACTAAACTTGAGTACCTAAAAGAAACTGCCCAATGCTAAAAGAGTAAGTGATATCTAATGTGGTACTGATTTATAAAACAGAAGATAGAGATGTTCAGCTGCTTCATGGGAAAAAATTTGGAATTTCCAGCACTCCAGTAAGAGACAGAGTATTAGCAAAGAGCAATGGCTGAAAGAAAGGCAGAGCAGCTCTGAAAAATTAAAGTAGCTGGTCTCATCAAAACAGAGGAAAAAGTGAGAGAGTGGAAGCATTGATATAGAAACCACAGGGGTGGCATGGGGCCGTGTCGTAGAGGGGCATTTTGGATGCCCACATCCCACACATGAATGCCTAGGTGCAGTCATGGATGTTCCCAATTTACCTTGCAACAAAAATACACCTTGAGGGGAGCACAGGTAATAGCTCAAGTAATTGTCACACTGCCTCCTGCCTCCTGCCTAGAAGACCTGCATCAGTTCTTGGATGTTCCCATTAGCCCATCACCAGCTGTTACAGGTATATTTTAAAAAACAACTATGTTAGCATATTGATCTGTTACAGGTATTTTAACAGTAAACAAGTGGATGGAGGGAGATTCTCTATCATTCTCTCTCCTCAACTTTTCAAATAAAAAACAAACATACCTATGTTTTCTTAAAGTAGTGACACCATAAAGCCATTGTAAGACTAGATATTCTTCTAAGAACTGAGAAGCCTTTGAATGAGTTTTAACAAGGACAGTTCACTAATAGAGTTTTGTTTCAGAAATACTGCTTATTCGCAATGGGAGAAATCAAAAGCAGAAAAAACAGGATAGTCTTCACAAAGGTTAACACAATATTCATCCTCATGATGACTGCTGTCATCGGAGAGATATAATAGATTCATGAAGAATCAAGATGGCAGAATAAAGTACGTACACGCCTAAACAGATGGAGAAATATTAGCAAGTGTGAAGGAAATAGTGCACATTCCAGGAAGCAGGAGAGAACAGAGCAAGAGCAGAGGAGTACTTGGAGACTGACAGACATAGGAAAGCAGTGAAAACAATGGTTTAGTGTCAGTGACTGATACCACAATGGCATTATTGAGTGGATATCTGAAATGCACCAGCAGCTGGAACTCCACCAGCAACCAGGTGGGAAGGGACTTCTAACAGGCAATCAGGTGGTGAACCCAGACAAAGAACTGCCAGTCCAGCTGGTCTGCTTGATTTGACCATGAGCAGTGAGAGAGCAGCAGATCCCACACAGGCAGTACAGGAACAGGGTGGATTTTACAACACAGCCAGCCCCTTTGGCTGTATCCAGCACCATCTTTGCTTAAGGAGGCAATGGCTATGGACAGTACTGCACATGCACTGAGCTGAGAGTGAACTCATTTCTAACTCAGTTAACTGTAACAACATGACATCCTACAGATTTCACCCAAAATAAGTCCAGGTACTCCTCAGACTGATGGCCAACAGATCAAGAACTCTAATAGTGCTACTTCAGGTGCCATTTCTCACATTGTGGCAAAGAATTTAAGACTCCAGAGAAAACAGTGAGCTGTGCATGTGCTAAGCTTGGAGAGAACTCACTGAGCTCAGTACATTGCACTGGTCCCACAGGAAAATAATACCAATTATGGCATCATACAGGTCAAAATAGGTCCATGTGGCACCCAGACCTAATGGACAACAGGTTCCAGCAAGATCAGCACCAACAACAACCTAGCTATATAGGACACCTGGTGTCTCCCTAATCCTGAGACCTGCTCCAACTGAAAGTGGGTGAAAAATTATACAGACAACGATGCAGCCTCAGCATGGTATCACAGGTGGTAGAAACTGATGGGTCAGGAACTGGGACTATGGAGATCATGGTAGAAATCTAACATAAGAACCCAGACCTGGAATTCGCTGCAGTGAGTGGAACAACTGGCTGCAAGCAAAGAGTTGTGTGCCAACTGCAATAAGTAAAATCACATTGTAGACCTGTGGGTGACAGAGCTGAGAAATCTGCCCAAGCAGAAGAATCTGATAAACAGAAGTATAATGACCAAGAGCAAAAGAAGAGACAAAGGCACAATGAATATTACTAAAGACTTCCCTGTAAAGGAACAAAACCCTTTGCCAACCTCAGAGTTAACTCAGGAAGACACCGAGAATATGGGGGACACAGAATTCAAAACGCTTGTTATAAAAATTATTACCAACAATGAGAAGCATATAAAACAGGCATTCAAGAAATATGTTACACACTGGAAATGAATCAAATGAAAGCAGATATATCAGAAAGGAAGTATACATTGCAGCCAATTAAAACTACAGTGTAGAGTCTACAAAATAGAATTGTGGAGGAAGAAGAAACAATCTCAAAGTTGGAAGATATTTCCTGTCATCAGGGGGAAAGCAAACAAAAAGCTGCAAGTAGAGCTGGGTCAAGCCAAAAAAAGGTATTCAGGAATTGAAAGACACTATTTAAAGGTCAAGTATAGGAGTTATGGGAGTCCCAGAAGGTGCAGAAAGAGAAGCTGGGTTTCAAAATGTATTTGATGAAATAATAAAGGAACATTTCCCTAATCTAGAGAAAGAATTAGGAAACAACATCCACGAGGGGCACGGAACTCCCAACACAGTTGACCAAAAGCAATATTCACCAAGACACATGACCATCAAACTCTTTTCACTTGAACATAAGGAAAAGATCCTGAAATGTGCACATGAAAAAAAATCAACTGAAATTTAAATGAATGCATAGGTCTCAAAGGAGATTTCTCACAGGAAACTCTACAGGCCAGAAGAGAATGGAGCAACATATCCAGAATCTTAAACACAAAAAATTGTCATCCCAGGACAACACATCCAGCAAAACTTTCCTTTGTCTTTGAAAACGAAATAAAATTATTCCTAGGTAAGGAAAAATTAAAAGAATATGCATCTTCCATACCTGCTCTATAAATGATACTTAAAAATGTTCTCTTCACAGAGAAAAGGAATAGCACCTACCAAAACCAAAGGCAAATACGTAAAGCATCCCAGAAAATAACAACAGAAGACTAAAAGGAAACCCTTCTCCATTGTTGGTGGGGCTGCAGGTTGGTGTAGCCTTTATGGAAACCAATATGAAGAACACTCAAACTGAAAGTCTGCATACCATATGATCCAGCAATAGCACTCCTAGGAATATATCCAAAACACCTGTTACATGAGAAACCAACATGCACCCCCATGTTCAGAGCAGCACAATCAATAATTGCAAGAACTTGAAAGCAACCGAAATGCCCATCAACAGAAGACTGGATAAGAAAGCTGTGGTTTATTTACTCCATGGAATACCACTCAGCTATTAAAAAAAATGAAATGCAGTTCTTTGTGGCCAAATGGACCCAACTAGAAACCATCATGCCAAGGCAAATGAGCCAATCCCAAAAGATTAAATACCACATGTTTGCCTTAATTTAAGTTGCCTTAATTTAATTTAATTTAAGGCACATGCTTGCATTAAAGAAACAAGACTAGATTTGAACTGTAATACTGCAATAAGGTGGAGCATTCCACCATGGAGATAGGGCACAAGGGGGGGAAGAGGGAACATCACAGCCTATGAAACGTTGCTATAAAGTTAAATGCAATAAAATATATATATAAGACTAAATCAATGAACAACCCATTGATAAAATGACAGGGCAAAATTACCACCCATTCATATTAACCCTGAATGCAAATGGCTTAAACTCATCTATCAAAAATCATGGATCAGTAGAGTGGATTAAAAACACAAAACTCATATGTTTGTTGCCTGTAGGAGACACATTTCACCAACAAAAATCAGCAGATAGTATATCTCATGGATTTTGATCTTTTTTTCTTACTTTCACTCTTCAAAACACTTTTTTCTGATTGAATTCGTCTGTGATTTATAGATCGTACAGTAGCATCATTTTCTTCAAAAAGCTTCTTTATTTTCTTTTGCATTTCTTCAGCGATGTATTCGTCATTCAGTACCATGTTATTTAACTTCACAGTGTTGTTAATTTCTTTTTGTATTTTTTCCTGTTGCTAATTTTATTTTGTGGTTTATTGTTTAAGGGGATGTATGGTAGCCGTGTAAGGAAGACTATCATATCTAGCATCGTGTTATTTAACTTCATGGCATTGTGAATTTCTATTTTCCTGCCTGTTGTTGTTGATTTTGTATTGTGGCTTTACGTTTAGTGGGATGTATATTAACTGTGTAATGGAGACTAACACATTCAGATGTGAGGATACAATGCATATGCATCTCCACTTCCTGACTAGATAGACTCACAAAGAAACTTTTTACTATATGTTGACAATAGCATGCTGGACTTTCTACCATTGTCCATGTCTACAATGATGGACATATGACTGTATATGAAGAACTACACTATACTAATTATATAGGGGAACTCAGTGAGGGTGGAGGGAATTGGGGAAGGCATAAGGGAAATCCCAGGACTGATGGAATTGTATCATAAAATGATATTAATAAAAAAGAAGCAAAAAGAAAATACTAGATTCACCTATGTTTCAATTGGCAAAGACAACATAAGTTACTAGTTGAATGTTAGGCGTATGTGAAAAGGAAGTGTAATTCCAAGAGCATCAGGGTATCACACAAAAATATTCTCTGAGTCATACACTTCGGTTTTAATGTGTTTGTCTATAACCATTACCTAAAACAATAAGACATAAATATGATTTTACACTCAAAAGTTTTGTGAAGTTGGAAAAAACTGATGATAATATTAAGTTAAATATTCACATTCATTTCTTCGTAGTTCACATTTCTTGTCCTTTCAGATCTGGAGTGCTCTAAAAGTACCCATCTCCCTTGGCTACTGCAATGCCTCCATGATGCCCGCATTCCCAAAAACACCATTGAGCCTGGTGACATCACCTACAGGGACAGACCTGAGAGTGAAGGAAATCCTGGAGAAACTAGATCGGCTGATCCCACCCAGACCGTTCACCAACATGGATGCCACCACCAGTGCCACACACAGCACAGCCACCATCCTCAACCCGCAAGACTCATACTGCACAGGGGACAAGCTGCACATCCTGCTGGAGATGAAGGACCACTTGGGTCACAGGAAGGAATACGGTGGGGATTTCCTGAGGGCCAGGATGTCCTCCCCGGCCCTGAAGGCAGGAGCTTCAGGAAAGGTGACCGACTTCAACAATGGCACCTACCTTGTCAGTTTCACTCTGTTCTGGGAAGGCCAGGTCTCTCTTTCTGTGCTCCTCATCCACCCCAGTGAAGGGGCAGCAGCTCTCTGGCGGGCAAGGAACCAAGGCTATGACAGTATATTTTTCAAAGGGAAATTTGTGAATGGAACCTCTGATGTCCTCACTGAGTGTAGCCTGATTCCAAATTCCAACACCCAATGGTGCAAATACTTGAATGATAGAGACCAAGAGATCTTCTACTGTGTGAAACCTCAACACATGCCCTGTGAAGCCTTAACCCATGTAAGAACTGGCAATAACAATGTTACGTATCTAACCAGCAAGGAGAAAAGCCTTTTCCACAAGTAAGTCTACATCTCCATACACTGACAGTTGATCCTCTAGAGTGCTATCATGCTCTTCCTTGTGCATGACATTCTCAGATGCCTCCTCTACTCAAGATGCTGGTCAAATGTGTGCTGCTCCATGGGGCATGTTGTCACAGTCCACAGCAAAGTTGGTGTTTTCTTTGAAATGGCCAATAAAAGACAGGCACCCAAGGTGGAACTGCAAAATACACCTGTGCTTCTCCAGGACGACTGCTATTGTCAGATCCAGTCATGTCCTTAACTGTTGACCTCAATTTTATACAAATTGTTCTAAGTAAATTCATTTATTTTCATGTTCATAGATGGCATGACAGAGTAGATTGTCAGGCACTTAGAAATCCATGTCTCAAAAGTTTACAAAGTAATCTTTCAGTCTTTACTCTTTAAGCTTTAAGTTGCAACAACTAAAATGGAATAGATCATCATGTTAAGCAAATTACAACAAGCACTGAACCACAAGTACTACATAATTTCACTCTTCAGAGGCTTATAAGAGAAAGATGAACTTTACAGGGGGTTACCAAAACCTTGGTAAAGAAGGGAGCAGGATCAGGAAGTGTTACTAAACAGATTTTAAGAAAAAACAGTTGGGAATAAGGATGTCCCTGGTTCATTGGATATTGTGGTGACTATAAAAGTAAGTGCCTTTCTCTACTTAGAAACTTGGATGACAGGTTCTAGGATGTGTTCACCATAAGAAACATTAAGTATTTCAAGATATGGATAGTTGTGCCTTGATTGGCCATTACACATCACAGGCATGTTTTAATTAATTACATGACAGCCCCATAACATGTCTAAATTTTGAATGTCAAAAATTTTAATTGAAGAAAATAAAAAGCACATAAATCTCTAAATGTATACTTAGAAAAATAAAGGTGAACACCAAACAAAGAAAAATCACAAACATTCTAGAATCTTACTTTGTTACCCAAATTTTTGCCCTGAATAGTCTCTGACTACCTCATGAAAAAAAAAAAATGCGCGGATGGGCGTTCTGTTCCCTTACTCTGATTTCATGCTACAGCTCATTAAATATCTTCCTACTCACTGCCTAAACATCGTTATGCCTAAATACAAGTAAGGATGAAAATATGCTGATATTTTGCATCTCCAGATTGGATCTGAAAAAGACATTCCTAGCAGAAGATCAGATATTGTCTATAACTGTTGTGCCTTGCACCTGAGTCCTATTCTTCCCTAACTCCTTTCTGACTAGATCCATTTACATAACCAATACACCATCTGGAAGCAAGGATTGAGTCAGAGAGCAAAAGTTCTGACGCTTGAAGAGTTGTAGTTTTTCATCAGCTGGAGGGAAAGAAATGCAATGGATATCATTCATGCATCAGACTGAACATAGTTTTCTGCCAACCATTTTGACAGACATTCAGGATTCAGCAGTGGACCAGGCAAATATAAATCTTTGCTTCATGAATGTTAGGATCTTAGAAAACAAATTTCTAGGGAAAATTGAAGCTAAGACTAATAGATAAAAGGCTAAGGAAGGAAACAGCAACCCTGTAATTGAAGGGTCAATGTACATGATAAGAAGCCTGGACTCCTTAGGCAAATGGTTGGAATGTAGTAAAGGGTTTTAAATAGTGTTGGAGCTGCATTTGCAATAAGAACAGGTGCTGAAGAATTTAGGCAGGATAAAACAGATAGGCTGACCAGTTAGAGGCTGTCCATGATTTGAGAAAAAATTATATGGATTTTCAAAAGTCGTCTGGAATCTAAGAGTGCTGGGAATTTTCAGAGGAGCAATTGTAGTGCAAAATCCCAAGAAAGCTCAGATTGTATGTAGCTGATAAGCAGACCTGCCCCAGACTCCAGTGCTATTAACAGAGTAGAACATCCTCCAAAATCCTAATCAGTTACAATGTCAAGTAAGTCTAAAATTTGCAACAGTAATAACAGTTTCAGTTACAAAAACTCATACGCAATCACTCAATTGCAAGCAACTCACATTACCTGTACTATGTAGAAATACAGCAGATTGACTTATTGTCCATTTTTTTTTGGAAGGTCCAAAGTTGGCGTTGAAATCATGAAAGACCAACACATTGCTGTCTCCCGATGTCACAGTAAGTCTGTCCCATTCTGCTCCACATGTGTCTATACAGAGGGAAGCTGATCAATACGAACCTTGATCAAAGCATTTTCCTGGTGTGCAATGTCTAGCAGTAATCGCTTATTCATATTTTCCAGGCAATGTAGTCCCCTTCCTCTATCTACAAGCCATGACATTGGAGCAAGTCCTCATGTCACATCTTTCTGACCCACCTTTCTTTCTTTCTCTTTTTAAAGATTCATTTATTTATTGGAAAGTCAGATATCCAGAGAGGAGGAGAGACAGAGAGGAAGATCTTCCACCCAATGATTCACTCCCCAAGTGAGTGCAACGGCCAATGCTATGCCGATCCGAAGTCAGGATCCAGGAATTTCTTCTGGGTCTCCGACATGGGTGCAGGATCCCAAAGCTTTGGACCGTCCTTGACTGCTTTCCCAGGCCACAAGCAGGGAGCTGGATGGGAAGTTGAGCTGCCGGGATTAGAACTGACATCCATGTGGGATCCTGGTGCATGCAAGGCGAGGACTTAAGCCGCTAGGCCACACCACCAGGCCCCTGACCCACCTTTCTTCCACCTTCTTTTGTTTAGGACAAATGAGATTAACTTGAGTCTGCTAGATAATGTAGGATAATCTCTCTAAGTCTGTAAACTCAATCACATCTATACCTTGAGGCATGGAAAGTTTACAGATATAAAGATTAGAACCTGGATAGATTTGGAGGGCCATTAGTCTGCATAAAGCAATCTCTAAGCTAATAAAAATATAAAAGAACATTGACAATATTACTCACAAACTAGTCATAATATTCAAGCCTATTATAATAGTTTTAAGCAAAAAATATATGATGTAAGATATATCATAAAAGAATCTGATATATATTTGAAATATTTATATTACATAAGAAATGATTTATAAAAAGAACCTCATAAATATCCTCTCACTGATGTAAGCCAAGACATCATTAGAAGGAGGAATAATAACAATAGCTCTCAAGCTTCCAGGATTGTGGTATTCAACAATCCAGGGGGAAAGTTCTACTGAGTTTCATAGAGTTCAAACCAACATAGTTATAAGATTATGAAAATATCATTTAGCAAACCAAACCAGGACTTATGAGATGATCTGATTGCATTTTCTTAATCTGCCACAAGCAAATTTCCAAATTTGTCATTTGATCACAAGTGGTAAAATATTACAATCCTGTACTAATGTGCTATTCTCTGAGCACAGGTAACAAAGACCTGCAATGCTTCCCAGCGACTAAGGAAAGAAGATATCACAGATACTGCTGGGGATTCCCCAGAGTCCATTCCATTCTCCTTCTTCAGTGATAGAAACCATTATTGTATCCATATCTATGGTCAGTCTTCCTTGTAGTCATGGCTGTGACTCGATTGTTTTCTAACAGCATGAATGAATCTGATGTGAAAAATTGCCAGATTGTTTCCTTTAAGAAAAACAATTAGTCCTTTCTTTCCATTTCTCTCCTTCTTCCAAGCTGAACTGTAGATTTAATGTGAGAAAGAAATGATCCATGTTAGATCATGAGAATGAAGCAGTCAGCTTTTTGAATGCCCTAGAGCCCCTGCTACTGCGCAACTTTATGTTAACCCTGGTTTGTTCTTAGGACTGTACATGAGAAAAAAAAAGTTCCTATATGTTAATTCATTGATATTTTTGCCATTTTAAAGAATCTCAAACATTTTCCTAATTGAAACATATTATAGTATCAGTAGAGACATGCTGAGAGTACAAAAGCTGAGATACAAGCATGGCCAACATTCAGTGGTGAGTTGAGGAGTAGTGCATGTCAAGGACATGTGACATGTGAAAGCTGATAGTCTTTGTCACAACATGCAAAATATTGGTTCATTGCCATGAATGATACCTTGGGAAGTAAACAACTTAGCAAAAGAGTCTGCAATTCTAATGGCACTTGCAGGAATATCTCAGAATATCAGTTGGCATTGGCCATTGCTTGCCATTTTAGTGAAATCCTGTTAAAAACACATTAAACACTTGATATTTTGCATGTATGATGTTTCTTAAGCCACTTTTTTAAAAATGAAAATTCTTTCATTACTGGCACAAAGGTAAGTGGTTGATACTAAGATTATAATAGGCAAGCATTAACATCATTCAGCTTAGAAACAAGAAATCTAGGTCACAAGAGAACAAGTAGCAATGGTCAATAAAGGGTAAAATATTGAGACTTAGTAAAAGTGCAATGGGAAATGCATGTAGTAAACCCACCCCACTGATGATCCCAGGTTAGCCACACAGGGCGACACATACCTACCTAACTACAGTACTCACTGGGTGCTGTGGCTTGTTACTGCTGCCAAACATCACAAGGCGGTATCTTGCTGCATATCAATAGCACAGAGAAAGGCAAAAGCTCAAAATTCAAGCCATAGCACCCTGAATGCGTCCAATCTCGTCTGGTCAGCCGCTGCCCCAAAATTCAAGCCAACATTTCTACTACAGGCATAAAAATTGCATACTGACAGTATGTTAAAAAATCAAAAGTGCAATGATCACAATGAAAGGGCAGAAATGCAAAATAGCAGTTAGAATAAGGAAGAAAGAGATCAAGAAAGGGAACAACCAAGAAGGACATTGGATGTTAAACTTAGGCAAACACAATCACTTACAAGTCTCTGTGTTAGCAGAGAGTACTGAGATAAAAGAGAAATGCCGCATTGGAATGGAGATCCCCGTCCCTGGTGGTTACGCCATGCAAGGAAGATGGCTCTCAGCATTTTGCAACCAGACTCTACTAGGTACAGCTTCAGTGAGTCACTGCTTGAAAGGAAAACTCATCTACCTCCTGGGAGACTCTACACTGCGCCAATGGATCGAATACTTACCCAAAGTAGTGAAAAGTATGTAGATGTGCTATTTTCTTGTAGAAATTTGGGGTGATGTTATAGTTTTTTTAGTGTGGTCTCATTTCTCATTTGAGCTGTTTTGTTTACCACTGTATATATATTATCAATATAAAATGCATTACATTTCCATTTCATAAGAAACATTGATCTTGTGTATAAATTTTGATGAAAATTTTACATTTTCATTGACATTTCATAAATTTGAATTGTCATTTGCTATGAAGCATACTATATGACAGTCAGAAACAAAAAAGGGATAAGGGCAGATATTTGACAAATCAGTTAAAATGCTAAGACACCACAATGTATGCCTGTCACTATATCATTCAATACTTGAATTCCAGTTGTGGAACTCAACTCAAACTTCCCGCTAATGTGAACCCTGGGAAGCAGCCGAAGATGGCTGAAGTAATTACGAACTTGTCCCTCACCTCAGACATCTGAAACAAGTTACAACTCTCGGTTTCAGCTTCCTGAAGCCTTGGATAATGCTAGCTTTGGGGGAATGAATCAATAGATGGAATCTCTCTCTATTTCTCTGTCTCTCACTATCTCATTATCTCAAATTTATTTAGGAAAAATAAACTTGTTTGCAAAAACAAACTAGAAATCTAGATAGGTGAGTACATTCTGTAATGTGATTTTTTTTAAATACTAAATATTACGTTCTAATTCAAAGGTCTATTTCTTTTTATCAGCACTAAAACCTTTTGATATTCATGGAAATGGAGATTTTAAGAAACGTTTGCTTCTGGATCCAGAAAAACACAATCAGGTTCAATGGAAAAAACACAGTCATCCTTTTGTCAATGCTAAATTCTACTCAGTGGTAGATGATGGCTACATCCCTCGGGAAATTGACCGGATACCAGGTGACAAGGATACCGTCATCGTCATCACCTTTGGCCAACACTTCAGACCCTTCCCCATTGACCTCTTCATTCGCAGGGCCCTCAGTGTCCGAAAGGCTATTGAGCGACTGTTTATGAGAAGCCCAGCCACTAAGGTGATCATTAAGACAGAAAACACCAGAGCGATGCACATAGACACAGAGAGGTTTGGAGATTTCCATGGTTACATTCAGTATCTTACTATGAAGGACATTTTCAAGGACCTCAACGTGGGACACATTGATGCATGGGACATGACTGTTGCATATGATACCAGACATATTCACCCACCTGAGTATGTGATTGAAAATCAGATCAATATGTTCTTCAATTACATTTGCTGACATACACACACACACACACACACACACACACACACACACATCGCTATGAAACAATCTTTGCAAATAATCCCACATGCATTGTCATTCCTTCTCATTTGGGGAAGTAGAAATTGACAATGTTCTGAAATAGGGATTACTTAACTTTGTAAACAACAAGCTAATAAGATTTTTACTCTTTATAGGCCACCTGGTGTCTGTCCCTACTGTCCCTTGCTCTTACTGTAGCCAACAACAACATGTAAACAAGTGGGTTTGGTTGATTCAATAAAGTTTCATTTAAGGATATCAATTTGAGTTCATATAATTTTTACAAGTCACAATATATTCTATGCATTTTTACCTGCTTTCTAAAATTACAAAAGCCATTCTTTCAACATGATAGCTTTAAAAAATGTTGTGGGTATTTTTTTTTATCCTCTAGGAGACCATCAACACAGGTAGAATTGAATAAAAACCCCTTAAATACTTGGTGCCTGTGAGCCATACAGGAGCCTGGAAGAGCTTGCTGGCTCCTCCTCCATCCTGGGTGCTGTAAGCATTTAGGAGAGAATCAATATGGAAGTATTGTTCTCTCCCTCTCTGTCTCACCCCAACTCTCTGTCAGTATCTTTCTCCCTGTCTTTACATTTCTCTCTTCCACTGTTTTTCAGCAAGTTTTTTTTAAAAAAAATCTTTAAACAAAAAGAAAATGTTCATAATTTGGGAAAATATAACCTGAACACCTAAAACAAACATCACTTACTAAATAAAATATAACATTTACCACTAATGTCAGACACAAAACAAAATGGAAGGCCTGTCACTGTTTCTATTCAGTAATGGAGTGGCAGTATAATCAAAACAGAGAAGGAACTGCCTCTGGTTGTTTGGTGTTTTTCTTAAAATAAAATAAAATAAAAACTAACTAAATTTAAGAATTTATTAGGTGTTCGCTTCGGCAGCACATATACTAAAATTGGAATGATACAGAGATTAGCATGGCCCCGTGCAAGGATGATATGCAAATTCGTGAAGCGTTCCATATTTTTTAATTCAGCAGAAGATAGGATATCAGAAATGGAAGATGATCAGAATGAGAACAAGCAGCTCATTATACACCTGGAGAGAAACCGAACAAAGCCAACAAGACCATTCAGGAAATGAAAAACAACTTCAAAAAGTCAAACATCAGAGTAGTAGGCCCTCCCGAAGGAGTGGAAAGAGAGACAGACTTACAACAGGTACTCAATGAAATAATACAGGAGAACTTCCAAAATACAGGAAACATGAATCCATCCCACATGCAGGAAGGACAGAGAACCCCCAACAGATTTGATCTAAAGAGATCTTCTCCCAGACATGTGGTACTCAAAGTCACCTCTAACAAATGCAAAGAAAGAATTCTGAGACACATATGAAGCATAGACAAGCATACATTTAGGAGCAAACCAATCAGAATCACTGCTGACTTCTCAGAAGAAGCTCTCCAAGCTAGAAGGGAATGGACCAAGATCTTTAAAATCCTGAAATAAAACAAATGTCAGCCAAGAATAATGTACCCAGCAAAATGTCATTTGTATTCGAGAATGAAATTAGATACTTCCATAGCAAAGAGAAACTAGAAGAATATACTAGCACAAAGCCAGCTCTACAAAACCTCCTTAGAAATGTCCTAAACCCAGAAAAAAGGAGGCAAACAGTAAGTAAAGATGGCAGATGGCAAGACCTCCCACTAAAGCCCACACAAGGAAAGACAGTTAGATATCCACACCCAGAAACACACACACACATGACAGAGCAAAATCGTAGCCTCTCAATATTAACTCTTAATACAAATGCCCTAAACTCATCAATCAAAAAACATATATTAACAGAATGGATCAACAAACAGGACCCAATTATCTGCTGCCTACAAGAGTCACATCTAACCAGAAAAGATGCTAAGAAACTGAAAGTAAAGGGATGGAAAAAGATATTTCATGCCAATGGACAAGAAAAAAAGGCCAATGTCGCAGTTCTCATCTCAGATGAAATAGACTTCAACGTGACATATATCAAAAGAGATAAGCATGGACATTTTATATTATTGAAAGGAGTGACCCAACAGGAAGTGATTACCATCCTTAACATCTATGCTCCAAGCACAAATGCACCTGCTACAAGAAATAATTACTGATGGACCTAAAGGGAGACCTAGACGCTCACACAATAATTGTAGGAGACCTCAACACATCATTAACACCAATAGACAGATCAACAAGACAAAACTCAACAGAGAAACAATAGAACTCACACAAACAATCCAGCAACTGGACTTAGTAGATATTTACAGAATCTTTCACCCCACAGATGCAGAATATACTTTTTTCCAGCAGTGCATGGTACCTTCTCCAGGATCAACCACATGATAGGACAAAAAACAAGCCACACTAACTTCAAAAAAATTGAAATCATACCATGCACCTTCTAAGACCACCAAGGAGTGAAACTGAAAATCAACAACTTAAAATGCCCCAGAAAACATATAAACTCTTGGAGGCTAAACAATATGCTATTAAATGAACAAAGGGTCAGAGAAGAAATTTAAGACAAGATCAAAAAATTTATGGAAACCAATGAAAACTCACATACAACATTCCAGAACATGTGGGAGAATGCCAAAGCAGTGCTACGGGGCAAGTTCATTGCAATTGGTGTTTACATCAAAGCTCAAGAAAAACACCAAATACAGGAATTAACCACACAGACCGATCTCCCTGATGAATACTGATGCTAAGATTCTCAACACAATCCTAGCCAATGGAATTCAAAAAAACATCAGGCAGATCATTCAACTGGATCAAGTAGGATTCATTCCTGGAATGCAGGGATGGTTCAATATTCGGAAGTCCATAAATGTAACACACCACATCCAAAAACTAAAGAGCAAAAACCATATAATAGTATCAATTGATGCAGAAAAAGCTTTCAAGAAAATCCAGCACCTCTTCATGCTAAAAACCCTAACCAAGGTAGGCATAGAAGGAACAATCCACAGCATAATCAAAGCAATATATGAAAAACCCAATGCCAGCATCATACTGAATGGAGAAAAACTACAACCATTTCCACTGAGATCTGGAACAAAACAAGGATGTCCGCTGTCACCACTGCTATTCATAGTTCTAGAGGTACTCGCAGTGGCCATAAGATGAGAAGAAGCAATGAAAGATCGGTGGTTATCAAAACAGCCTGGTACTGGCACAAAGATAGAGAGGAAGACCAATGGAGCAGAATAGAAACAACAGAAGGGAGTCCACATAGATACAGTCAAATAATCTTTGACCAAAAAACAGATGACAATCCATGCAAATGGGAAGGTCTCTTCAATAAATGCTGTTGGGACAACTGGTTAATAGCCTGCAGAAACCAGAAGATAGACCCGCATCTCTCACAATACAATAAGATCAAATCTAAATGGATAAAAGACTTAAACCTACATCCAGAAACCTTCAAACTCTTGGAGGAGAAGTTGGAAATACCCTGCAAGAGCAAGGTGTAGGCCCTGACTTCCTAAAAAGAATTCGAAAAGCAATAGCAATCAAGACCAAAATAAACAAATGGGACCTCATCAAACTAAGAAGCTTCTGTACAGCAAAGGAAACTATCAACAAAGTAAAAAAACAGCCCTCAGAATGGGAGAAGATCTTTGCACACTACATAGGCAACAGAGGGCAAATCTCCAGAATATACAAAGATCTCCAGAGAAATCAAAACACCAAAACAAACAAACCACTCAAAAAATGGGCACAGGAAATAGGCAAACAATTCACAAAAGAACAAACCCAAATGGCAAACAAACATATGAAAAAAGGCTCCAGTTCCTTGGCAATAAGGGAAATCCAAATTAAGACAACAATGAGGTACCTCCTAACACCAGTAAGAATGGCTCACATTCAAAAAACCACCAACACCACTTGCTGGTGAGGTTGTGGGGAAAAGGGAACATTACTCCACTGCTGGTGGAGCTGCAAATTGGTACAGCCTCTATGGAAATCAGTATGGAGAACACTCAAACAACTGAAAATCTGCATACCATATGACCCAGCAATAGCACTCCTAGGAATATATCCAAAACACCTGTTACATGAGAAACCAACATGCACCCCCATATTCATAGCAGCACAATCAATAATTGCAAAAACTTGAAAGCAACCAAAATGCCCATCAGCAGAAGACTGGATAAGAAAGCTGTGGTTCATTTACTCCATGGAATACTACACAGCTATCAAAAAAAAATGAAATGCAGTTCTTTGTGGCCAAATGGACCCAACTAGAAACCATTATTCTAAGAGAAATTAGCCAATCCCGAAAGGTCAGATACCACATGTTTGCCTTAATTTAAGATAAAACGATGTCAATCTGGAAAATAGTACCTGTATACTGTAATACTATCGCAACCTCAAACAGGCTGTATCTAATGCAATAAGATAATGTGATATAATCTATGAATCAACAATTAATGAGAGTCAGACTGTTTATGATCTACATCAAAGAACTGTAAAGCCTAATACACTCTTAATACCCTGTTATTCTGTAATGGAGAGGGAGTGCAGAGAAAATTTCATCTCCCTATCAGGTGGGGAAGATGTGAAGTACAACCTATCAGGATCATATCAGGTAACCCATAGATATCAAACTTGAGTCGACATTAGACAATAGTCAAGCTAAAAAGGCATATGGAGGAAATCAGAAGCGATACTGACAACCTCTTAACAGGAGGTCATGCGCATGGAGCAGGGGGAGGACCCCAGAGTTGAGCCAATGGACAGGAGGAGGTGTGCATCCCAACCCTGAAGACTCCCAGATCCTCACCAAGGACTATTAATATGAGCAACAAGGACTACATCCCAACGGCCAAGGAGACCATGGGGAATAGGAGTGCCTTCGGAGGCCAAGAACTCTGAGGTCACCCACACCCATCCAGATCTTACACAGGGGATGGAAGAAGTCCAAACCCTGCCATGAAGGAACCAGCATCA